TGTCATTTTAGCAATTAGCTTTCAAACATCATGTTCTCAAAAGACTTTCCACATTTAATTCGTAGCTAGTGTACTAGATGGCGCTGCATGATATCCTTGTACTATTTTATTTGTCACATATTTTACTATAAATAATTTTAACAATTTTCATTAAAAATAAACATATATTTTTAATACAATTTAAGAAACTATTATAATTATAACACAATGTGTTTCTAAACGTAAAACGGAATATTTCAATAAAGTTTAATGAGGGGGGTACCTACAAAATAATTAAGTTGTGTCATATCAAGTAGAAGTGGTTATGAGAAAGTATCGTTCATTTGTGTATGTATCCTATTCTACTATTACTAATTAACAAAAAAATATTATGGAGCAAGAAATCCATTTAATTGATAATCAAAAAGGACAACTTACACTCATTACTGGTAATCATAGATACAGTAAAAAGAAAACTAATAAAAATGGTGGTTCTTTGTGGAGGTTTATAAATAGACGTGAGTTCAGTGATTCGTTGACGTTAGATAAAACACGGATAACAATTATAAGGAGAACTCGTCATACTATTACACGTGAGCCAGCTGATACAAAATATTTAATTTAATTAATGAACACATTTCAAGTCTTAAGAAGATCGTTTGTGAAACAAGTGAATTTATATCTGCAAATAGGCTACAAGGCAGCAATTCAATCAATTTAATCAAGCGAACGATGAGGTCGACATTTCCTAACTGACTACTCTGAGAAGAAATGCCGAAACAAACTCAGAGGTCTGTCTCTTTTAAAGTCCAGACAATATGTATAACAGATTATGTGTGAGAACCGTGCAAGTTCTTTCTATAGTGGGCTTTTGAGGAAAGAACCACCACAGTTTGAGCGGACCCGTTCTGAAGGCAGTACGCATGTGTCGGTTTACAGTCAGCTCAATTAACAGGTGAGGCTGACTGATTCGACGCACAATACCAACCCAAAGAACATTTGCGTAGGCCCCACAAATACTCAAACTGTCAGAATATGGGTAATTGATGTGAAGATTTGAGACCTATTTAGCAAATTTTTGAAGAATATCAAACAAACCTCCATATTAGATTTGATTGTTTACCTT